AAGACCCTGAGACAAGGATTCTGGAGCCAATGGTTTGTTAGGGAGGGTGTCCCAGGAAGCTGGGAAGAGAATGGTGAATAGTGGTAAGGGAAGATGCTAATACAGGGGCATCCTAGAGGCTGTTCTGGGGGCCTCTGAGCCTTCATCCCACTGGGGAGCTTGGGGGGACTGTGGATAACACACACCTGAGTTGTCACACCCAAGGGACAAGGGGGTTGGGGAATTCATCCAGCACCTCCCATCATTCATCAGCCGAGCCTGCTCTGGGGACCCCAATTCCCTGGGACATTCTCACCTGCCCTGTGTGGGCTGAGTGGGATTTCAGTGGCCTGAAAAGCCCTAGGGAAGAGCCACAGGTGCTGTGGGTGGGTGTGGATGTCCACCACATCTCCCTCATCCCTGCCATGGATGGCTCCTTCCTGTGCCTCAGGCCTCAGCTCACCCTCTTAATGGCATCTGAAGCACCTCTGTCCTTCCCTGGCACTGAGCCCCTCTGTCCCCTCATTACACGATGGCCCTCTGAATTCACAACTTTGGAGACTGTGTACTGATTCATTTATGACTTACTGTCCTTATTTACTGTCTGTCTCCCCCATGAGAGTGTAACTCCCTGTCTTTCCTATTTCCTGCTGGGTCGCCTGGCCCTTGTATCATGCCAGGCTCCTAGTAGGTGCTCAATTAAATACCCTTTGACAGAAGAAATTATTGTTGATTCCAAGCTGGGAGTTCTGAGTTCCGAGGCTCAGAACTAGAAAGGCATTGGATAGATGGGGCCTCTGGGAGCGAGGTGGGGCTGTGACCTGTCCAGGGTCATGAACTGGGGTGCCCCACTAGCACCCCACCCCAGAAGCAGAAGCCCTGTCACTCCGCTGGAAGCCTATCCCTCTGGAAACCCCACCAGCAGGAGGAAATTCTCTGGGAGTCCCGGGAGCTCCTCTCAGCTGCTGGGAACTGCTCCCTGCCCATTCTTGGTAATCTCAGCCTCATTGTCCCCCTCTTTCCCAGCTGAACAGGAAGTGGCTCAGACAGCTGGAAAGCCAGGCTGCTCTCTAGTTGAGATTCATTAATTTGTAAATATCTTCATTTATATGTAAATGTGCGGTCCAGTGCCCCGCCACCAGCCCTAATGGGACCCTGCAGCCTTGAGATGCAGCCTCCTTGTGCAGGCTGCTCAGGCTGCCAGCAGCTCTCCATGAGTGGATTAGACCTAGAGATGGTCTGCTTCTCCCTTGCCTCTGCTATGCCCTTCTCGCCGCAGCGCCTCATCCCCAGGGCTCTCTGCCTGGGAGACCGCCTCTGGGACCGAGGCTCTGGAGAAGGCTGGGGAGGAAAGGAGCACAAGCCACCAGTCAGTGTGCTGTGTGACCTTGCACAAGTCTCTTCCCCTCTCTGGGTCTTGGTCTCCTCAGCTGTAAAATGAGGAGGGCAGCATGGTGTTAGGGGTAGGATGGGGTGTCTTAGGGTCTGACACACTTTTTGTCATTCCAGCAGGGGGCCTTTGGGCATGTCCCTTGACCTTGCTGAACTTTGATCCTGTCTGTAAAATGGGGCTAGAAAAATGATAACTACTGCCTTTGTTCACAGATTTGTTTGTGACAATCGGGAAAGAGTGTGCATAAGGTGACTCCAAGATTTTGGATAAAGGTGAGGGTGTTGTTTTTTGTTTTATGGTGGAGGAAAGAAGGGTTTTTCTAGGTAATAACAGAGACCGTGCACCATTCAGCAACAGTGGAGGCACTTTATGTTGGAGGTTCTCATGAGGCTGCAGCGAGCTTCTTGCTGTTGGATTCCGTCTTAGATGTGGGAAACTCAGGCACAGCCACCCCCACAAGATGACGCTAAAGCAAGTGGCTGGGGGAGTCTTGATGTGAATTGGGCCATCAGAAACACCTCTCACTTAAATCCCACAAGTGTGGGAAGCCGGTCATACAAAGCCCACTTTGCAGAAGAGAAGGTGATGCAGAAAGACAGTACAGCCCTCATCCAAGGTCGCTCAGTAGCAAGTGCCTGAGCTGGAAAACTCAGACCCAGGACTTTAGGCACCAGAGCTGTGCCCTCCATGCTCCGGGAGCATGAGAAGGTGGGTGGCAGGGATGTACTAATGGTCTTCCAGGTCCTTCCTGGCCTAGGGATCAGAGCCAAGGAGTCTTCCCCTAGAGACCAGGGACGGGGGTGGGGGTGGAGAGTTGGTGGGGGGAAGGACCAGGAAGGCTTGCAGGGAGCATCTCAGAGACCATGGCAACCGCACCCGGGTGGGCCAGCTTGGGGTTTCTAGGAAGCTGAGAGGTAATCTGAGGCTCACTTGCTGCAGAATCATCTGTGGTTCCAGAATAGTTATTTTCTTCTCCAAAATGAGATTTTGCCTCTTTTTTCATTTCGATTGTAACTGGCTTGTCTTAAGCGTGGCTTAATATTTCAAGGCACCCCAAATCCTTTTTGGAAGTGGTGTAGGAGAAATCATAAATAGAGGAATGAAAGCCTTTGAGCAGTACACCTCTTCAGAGTCCCTTCGTGTCCACATTCTTACCAGATCCCTCCAACAAGCAGCTGGGTCTGAGCTACCAGTGCAACACCCAGAAAGCTGGGGGACCTAGGAAGGTCCTCCAGGGTAGCGCACCCACCTTCCATTCTTACTGAAATGGGTGGGGGGCATCATTGCCTGATGCCCTATGCAGGAGGGCTGGGTGCACCTTTTGCAATCTTCTTGTTTCATTTTCTAATTTTGCCCATGGGGAAAAAACTGAGACCCAAAGGGCCAAGGGTGTACCCAGGGTCACTCAATTAATTTGCAAACTTCATTGTGCACCTACTATGTGCCAGACCTTGTCTTCCAGCTTTGGAACAGACTGCCTGGGCACCAGACAAAGCATTTGTCTGTGTGCTGTTAAAAAGCATGCATGCATGCACGTGTATATGTTTGTGCGTGTGTGTGCATGTGTGCATGCATGCACACAAAACTGCATGTTCAGTGTCTCACTGAAGTTATTCTTCATGAACACAGAAAAATCCCCCTCTTGAAGAGGGGTGTGCACTGGAGGACTGGCACCCATCAGCCTGTGGGAAGATCCACTCTGCTGGGTTGAGGGGTGGTGTAAAGAAAATGTCCCACAGGGAGACGTGCTTGAGTTGGGTTCTGAAGGCTGATGAGTACCAAGTGACCGAAGGGAGACAGGTACCCTGGGAAGTGGGCCCAGTAAGTGAGCGTAAAGGGTCAGAGGAATGAAATACAACTGAGGCCTTCTAGAGAATGCATGGGAGGAGCATGGAGGTATGGGGACCCATACCCCTATAACAGGACAGGCAAGGAATGGGATGCACTACCTCCTAGTCTTCTAGAAGGGGGAAGGTATAGGAATATTAAGTCTCTCCATCCCCAATCATTCTTTCCTCCCCATCTGCTGCTGCTTCTGACCAAGGGTCTGCTTGTTTAGGGTCTGTTTTCCGTGCCAGGCTTCGGGCCATTGTAGCTTTGCAGCCTGCAGGCAACAGCAGAACCAGGCAAGCTGTTGCACATCCCATCCCTGTGATTCTGGGCTGTGTGAGTTCAGGCATGTTGCTCACCTTCTCTAAACCTGTGTGCAAACCTGGAAACTGGACTGGGAAAACCCTCCTTACAGGACTGCTGGAGGAGCTGGCTGGGGGGGCCGACATCAGGGGTCTGCTCCATGCGGCAGAGCTGTGCCCGGCCCCTCCCGCTTCCTCCCTGCAGATGTCCCCCTAGGGAATGGGCTCTACCTCTGCAGCAGAGCCCTGGCTCTGCCTTCCAAGCCCACAGAGGGTGATCCTGAGAGCCCCCAGGAGCACTGGGGGATGGACACGAAGGGCTGGCGACGTGGCCTCCTGGTCCCCGGCCCTCGCCTCACCTCACAGTGGACTGGTACACCAGGTCCTCCCTCTTGCGGTAATTCTCCATGTGCGAGTAGTTGGTGGAGAACATGGCGTCGAAGGTGAAGATCTTCTGCTTGATGGTGCCGCCATCTGTCACCTGCAGCAGAGCACAGAGGTAGGCACAGGTAAGCACTCACCGGTGCTGGCCACACCCCTTTCCTCCGGCAGTAGTGGGCTCCCAGGACCCTGGAGATGCAGAGGCCAGGTAACCCACTGGCCCGCTGCCCCAGGAGAGGCTGCTAATGGGGGATGTCACAGCCATCCCATCTCGGGGACCTCCCAGGCCATCCCCACTTTGTTGATGTGTGAACCAAGCCTCTGAAGTGCAGTAACTTCCCGAGGTCCTACAGCCAGGAAGAAACAGAGCCAGTCCTTCTCCAGCCCTTGCCAACATACCAGGCAGTCTCATTTCTGTGACCCCACTGGTTGGTCTTGCAGAAATGACAAATGAAGCTTGGAGAGCCATGGATGGAGCCAGGAAGTATGAATGTGTTTTGCAGAATGGAGTCACAGAGCCATAGCCTGACCCTAAAGGGGTCCCTGTGGAGGAGGGAAGGAATGGGGAAACAGGCTAGACAGACAGAGAAGGGGACATCTGGGGGCTGGGGCAGTCACCAAAGCAAAGATCTCATGGGGAGACAGGTAAGCTGACAGCAATAATTTCGGTGCAGTGAGTAGATCCAGAATTGCAGGGAAGCCCAAGGAGGAGCAGCTGCCATCCTGGGGACAGGGCAGTCGCAGAGGGCTTCCTGGAGGAAGTGATGTCTAAGTAGCCTTCTGAAGGAAGAATAGGAGCGGAGCAAGCCTGGCAAAAAAGTGGACATGCTTTCCAGTGAGAGGGGACAGCAGGAGCAAAGGACCTGGGGGCAGGAAGGAGCAGTGCACATGCTCAATGAGAGTAGACTGTGTTCAGAGCACCCAGGATGCAAAGGAAATGGGTAAGAAGCCTCTGGGGAGAGAAGCTGGATGGTAGTTGAGGCAAGCAAAGGAGTTCAACTGCCCCTTAAGGCAACATGGTGGAGGGCCAGGCTGCCATTCTGTGTACAAGCTCCCGCTGGCCTTTGGGTGAGACCGATGGAAGGGGCATAAGGCAGAGGACTGGGGTGAACCCAGTCTCCTGACACAGGGGATGCAGAGAAGGCCACAGCATGGGGACTTGCCCCCCTCCGGCTGCCCTTGGGACAGGCCAGGAGGGAAGTCATGAGTTTTCATGTCACTTAGGAACGTGGAGCCCCGGGGAAGGCAGGGGACCTCAGGAGTGGAGCCTGAGCTGGAAGACAAAGGCTGCTTGGTGCCCAGCTGGTCACAGCTGATTAAAAGTCAGACCCAAGTGTCCCGTGCTCCCAGCTGCCTCCTGCCGGCTGCATCCCCGTGTCTGCAGCGCCTCGGGCTAATGAACGTGTTACTCCACAAAGCAGCAAGGTATGTGTTGTCACTGTTTCAATTATTTATCTGTTTACTCGGCTGCCGTTTTCCCTGCAGTTTTCCGCTTGTCTCAGCAACTCTATTATAGACTGGGAGCCTGCAGCCTCTGGCTGCTCAGCTGGGCTCCTCGCTAACTGCCAGAGACCCGGAGGCCTCACGCCTGGGTCGGGAGAAGGGAATCAACTCCCTGCAGCTCGTCTTGGTGCAGCGGGGGGAGGTGCTGGGGGAGGTGCTAGGAGGGCGGTGGCCAGGGATGGGGTTTTCCAGGGGCCGGGGAGGGATGCCAAACGCTGCTGCTTCTGCAGCACTCAAGCTGGGCCTTGGGGCTTGGATCTGTGCGTGCAGCTGGCCTCCTCAGGGCACATCTGTCCCCAATCCGACCTGGACCACATTTTTGGCCTAGGCAGTATTGCTACTGGTTTAGGCGACACAGATTCAATGAAATCCAGGCAGCTGTGCGCGAGGCACCGGCCACATCAGTATGGGTCACTCTCCCCAGACTGCAAGCTCATAAAGAGTAAGGAGGTCTCTGTCAGTACCGGGTCCCCAGGGAGCCCTGGCTGGCAGGGTTAGAACGAGGGTAACACTGTTCACAAGTTCCAGGACCCTGAGGGGGATCGGTGGTAGGACTTCCCACTGCACCCTTTCCCCTAACCCCTGGCTATGCTCAAACCCTGATGTCTCTCCTCTGGGCTTATCTACAGTTCATACCCTTCGCTTGTCTCCCCTCTGGGGCTTTGCGCTGGGTAGGTGTGCAGTGGGGAGGTAGGGCAGCACACCCTCTCACCTCGCCTCTTTTGCAACACCAGCTGGCTTCCCAAACCAGGAGAGTGGAGGAAGAGGAGCAAAGGACCTTTACACCAGGGCCCTCACCTGGGGGAGGATCCTTCAGCTCCCCAGGGGACACTAGACAATGTCTAGAGCTTTCCTTGTCACAAGGGGGGATGGAGGTGCCTTGCTATGACATCTAGCAGTAGGGCCAGTGATGTAAACATCCCAACATGCACAGCATGACACCCCAGAGAACTGTCTGGTCCAAAATGTCAACAGTGCCGAGGTGAGAAATCCACTATGAGGCATCACTCTGCGGACCCACAATGTCCCTGGAAAGTCAGTAGAATGGGCAGTGATTTTCCCATTCTCAGATGAAGACACTGAGGCTTAGAGTGGCAGTGATTCATCTGAGGTCCACACTGGGCTCAGGCCGAGCTCTGGCTCCCAGACCAGGGCTCTCAGCCCACCCATCAGGCTGAGAGGCTGTGGATGGGGGCACCAGCTCTCAGCCCCTCCCTCTGCCCCCAGCGTGGGCTCATTTGAGGGAGGATGCCAGAAGCCCAGCATGGGTTTGAGGAATTTCTCCCTGAAGCCATGGAAGTGGGAGGCCTTCCTCGCATTTGACTTTCAGTCTCGCCTCCCTTCAGGAATGGGTTTTTTATCTCCTCCTAAAATGCAGCAGCTCTTATCATTCCAATCTCAAATTTCAGTCCATTTTTTTTATTTTACAAAGGAGAAAAAAAATCTGTCAGTAAAACTGTCTCCTCAAATTTATTCTCCGGGACTGAGGGTTTTATTACTAGGGAAATACACCCGCACCCCACACGTACACACCCACACCCACACACCCTAGATCAAGCACTGAAGAATTATCTGAGTCATAAATCGCTGTTTCAGGCCTAGGGACAGGGGAGTTTCAAGGACGCACCTAGTTTTCCTTTGGTTTTATTTACATCTTTTCCCCTGGGGCTGTGTCTCAGGCCTCACTGTCAGACTGCGGGGTAAATAACTGCTTCCCGTTAAACCGGCCTCAGGCTGCCAAAGACCAGGGCTCTGTGTGTGCCAGCCTGACACCCGCCAACCCAGTTCCCTGCTGCTGCCTCTCTGACTTCCTCAGCCTCAGCAAAGGTACAGGAAAGGGATAGACTCGGAATTCACTCTCAGGTCCCAGGCGGGTGGGCGAGTGCCTATTTGCAAGGAGGTTACCCAGGCTGCCAGAGCTCCCAAGAGAGAGGATGGGTGGAGGGTGGTTATCACAGAGCTGTGGGCACAGGCATGGTGCTGTTAGGTTGCGAGTATATTGGAAGACACCACCCCTTTAATTCTGGAAAATTTCACGTGCAGGCACAGTTTTAGGCCTCATGGGAGAGAAAGGAATGAATGTCAGAGGCACAGCCCGCAATCAGCTGAGAG